AGCATGCTCGTTTGTCCTTTCTTCTTGTGAGGACAAAGTCAATCTGGCTAGAGTGTTGTCTGCTACTGAAGGTCACTAGGTGAGATTCTCTCTTTCTAAAAAAAAAGTGTTGGCTATCATCAGGTCAAAAGCTACCGCGAAGTCCAGAACTTCCTCCCCCTCCTGATTCCTACTACCATACCGAGATGCATTTGTAGAGTAACTAAAAAGTAATGCACTTAGGGCAGCCGATTCGTAAAGCAAAGAGCCAAGAGGGCAAGTGCTGGTGTTGGTTCTTATGCCCAAAATGCTTGTTAGGGAGAAAGTTTCTTGCTAATTAGTGTTACATATCACAACAAAAGTCCCTGATTATTCCTAAATATTCATGCCATCACTTCTAGGTAAGTTAGGCAACAATGAACCTCAAAACTGGAGCTTGAGTACAATGGAAGGGCTAATAAAAAGACAAGTTTACTTATGTTGAAAGTGCAATTAAACTTTATAAAGGAGGCAACCGCAAAGTTTTACTTGTGCTCGTTGAGAAAAGGAAAACCAAGTATTAAGGAGACGAGCTCAGACAAAATTACCCCATATCATTGAGGGCCAAAGCAACAGCACAGAAGTTTGGCACTCCACTTCTCATGACCTAGCAGTGGCATGGATTAAAATATCAGCTATGCTCAGATAGAAGTTGATGTGCTAATCCTATCAAGGTCATCCCTAAACATTCACTATCTCATGAGTAATCCACTATCTCTAGTAATCCTATGCTGGATATAAATAATCATAACTAGCAGGTCAGAATATATGCACTATGCAGGTTATATGCCCATAATATATCCATTGGAGACTAAGAAAGCAAATGAAAATGCCTTGATTTTGGTTGCAGGATATCGGGAACTGAGCCTAGCTTAGTTGTTGTATACCCCCAATAGCCAGGTTCAAGTTCTCTTCAACTTGAATTTGGGTACCTATTTTTTTTATTAACAATTCCACAGTTCCTCCTAGGTTGGTCGAGCTTTCTTTTTTGGTTCTTCTCTCTTTAGATTTTTTTTTTCTAGAACTAAGCAGGAGAGCTGCATGTCATTTCAAGAAATCATTATGGTGTCTGCAATGTTTATCCAGCCCAGGAAAAAAGCATTAAACAGAAGAAACATTATTTTGCACATGCCACAGAAAACATAAAAACACAATTGCTGATAAAGATCAACTTACATCATATGTGTCAACCAAGGCCAGGAAGGAATTTGGAAATGCCAGTGCATATGACGTGAATGCGGCCAACTCACTTTGGCTTGTTTCTCCAAAGGTACCATGCAATGAACTAGATTCCTGAGAATAACAAATAATAGATCTTGACTAGAAAAGTTGAAAACAAATTACTATGTACCAGGAGGTCTGTAACTTCAAAATTCAGGGGAAACTCTATTGTAACTTGCAAGAAGAAAAGGAATAAGTGCACATGAAATATCTAATTCAGCATTTATTTCCAAAGCTGAGTAGGTAATGATTAATCTGTAACATGAGCAGCACCTGAATCCTGATCAGCCAATTCTGCACAAGAGAGACAAAATCTTCACATTTCTTTGAACCATCAGAACTAGTAAGTGCTTTGTTGGTAATTTCATCAATACCCTGCAAAACGATACTAAGTTAGAGCAGAAGTCCACTAGGAATGATTAGAATAGCTTTGCTTTCTCATCCAGAACAAAATAATGAATCACATAGTTGCAAAGTTCATAGAGTAATATCTCATTGCCCACTGCGAAGCATTTGATCCCTGACTGCACCTTCAGACCTTCTACATTTACATCATGGAGATATGGACAAATTTCAAAATAGCCAATCCTGAAACGTCTTGGTTGGGTGAATACTATGCATGCTAGACTTAACAGGGAAAACCACAAAATGTACAAGATAAGATCCCTATCTTCATTATATACTTCACCCATCACCGCACATTATTATATGTTTGAATATTAGGGGGTAGCAGTGGCACCTGACAAACCATCTGGGTTATCAAATGCAATCCAACTAGAAACTGTTTTGCTAAATATGCAAACTAACAGATTCATCATTTCTCAAGCTATGAAATAGTAGGTTAATCCTATAGTTGTGCAAACGAGAAACAGAGGAACTATGGAATAAAGCATGCTTGCACTATCTGAACCTGATAAACAAGTCTATACATTACTAAAGAAGCATTGAATCTAACTACAAAGAAAAGAACAGTTGGAACACGACTAATGTTCAATGTTTCTAGTATAGATAATGGCATAACGACACACAAAGCAATGTCACAAAGAACTCCCAAAAATGACAGTAAATTTAATCATTCATGAAGCAAGATTGGAATACCAAGAAGTCACCACTAACCATGAAGGAGCTCACAAATGCATGTGAATGAGTCCCACGTATTGGTATCCCAAACAATCTTCCTGCTGCAACATTGCTGTTCAGGTAGATATCATATATTATGATGGTGAAAACTGCCTTTCCTTCCAAGTAAATTTATAAAATAACCTTCTAGCATTGCAAGATCAAGTATACCTACTCATTTGGAAAAATATATCAACTCGATACTCTGCATGTTACTATTCTAGACGGTTCATTTAGATTGCATCAGTAGCATAAACAGTCAAAGCTAGGCAGACAAATACCCAGAAGAGCGCAGAAAATAGCCAATTTAAGCTATGAACGAGTCCAAAAAAAGGAAAACACAAAAGGCTAGATAGAGTCAGAGCACATAGTATTCTATAACTACAGCACTGTGTTCATTGAGTGAGCAAAGCAGACCTTGTTGCATCAAAGCCTCCCATATAACAATATCTTGATGCACTGATTCCTCCATCAGGCCCCTGATAGATGAGTATTTATAGGTCTAACATACAAAGGTTAATGGATGGGCAAGCAAAACAGAATGAAAAGTAAGACCCACTTGAGCCCGTCGAAGTCCAAATTCAAGTAAATTCTTTGACTTTCCAGCAACAAGTCGGTGCCGTGCCGCATTTGTGGTAACCAGAGAAGCATAGTTGACCAGACTTAGAAATGGAGTTTCAAGAAGCTGGACAACCTGGGACAAAAATCACAATCTCAATGTATGGAAAAACTGGAATATCAATGCAAGTTAAAAATGGGTCGACCTACAGCAGCTACTGTTGTGAAGCTTTTACATGCTAACTTACTCCTGGTACTTACAGCAACAGGTCCTTCAATTCTCATCAGTGGAACTTTAGGGAAGACAACATAACCCTCGGGTATGGCATAAACCTCCACATCTGAGCAGTCAATCGAACGGAGGTAGTCAAAGAAGCCATCCTACAAAAGGAGCGGTGACTCAGTGAGCATAAATTAGTTAGTTGCTAGAAGACATGGAAAGAACCATTATAATATGAAATGGGCATAGTTGAGCTGCTAATGAAAACTAAAAATGTTTTTTCAACTGTACATCATGCAGAATTCCCATAACATGATCCAGTTTTTTCAACAAGACTAGCAAACCCACCTCACATGTAGGCATGACAGATCGCAGAAATTTGATTTCCTCCTCGGTGAACTTGAAGTTAGCAATGAACCTTATACATTCCTCAAGGCCACCGAAGATGGTGAACTCACCGCCAAATGGACTTTTCCGGAAGTAGAGATCAAAGCTGAAACAATTTAAGTTCGCAATAAGTACAGGTGCAAGAGAGTAAAACATAACTAGAAGACCGATACAAACAGAAGAACTGTGACGCTGATTTACACACTTGCTAAACTACACTGCATTGTACCAAGTACCACCTAGATAAAGCGATTGGCCTAGTTCAAACGGTTTTCCATTGCAAACCTAATAATCTTATAACATACTGAAACGAAACTACCGAGCAGAGCCCAAATCTGTTCAGAGTTTAGCAGACCACAATTATCACAGCTAGGCCAGCCTGACACACGATTTCACAAAAAAACAGGTAGAAAAGTAATTCCAAAACACTACCCAGTGACGCCATACCTACCACCCCCCTCCTCACCGGCGGCGGCATACCTATCGCCCCCTCCTCACCTGCCTAACAAATCGGCACTACTCCGCCGGAGGTAAGTGTAAACTGACACCACAAATCGAGGGACAGGACAGAGGAGACAAAGGGAGCGTGGGAGAGTTAGGGGTGGGGAGGAACAGGGGGCTCAGGGCTAACACTGCGCGGTCGAGGTGCTTGCCGGCCTTCCAGTAGGCGTAGGCCATGGTGAACTGGTAGAGGTCGGTGAGCAGCGGCGTCACCATGGGGTTCGTCGGGCGCGGAACCCCGCCGCCGCCGCGGCTGGTGTCCCCATTCGCCGCCGCCATGTTTGTTTTCCCCCCTTCCTGTGGCGCGCGTCTCGTGGTCCTGTGATGGAGAGGATGGAGGAACCGAGAGTAAAGCAGGGGAAGAGGAGTGGCGGTGGCGGCTCCTGGAAACCTTTTGAGCCCGAAACCGAGAGCGGAAAGGCCGAGATCGCGACGACGCGGACACGTGGCGCCCCACTTTGGCCTGGTTGGCGTATGGAGAACGCGAATCACGACCGGGGGCCCCCACCCCCACCCGATTTCATTTCATCGCGGCTCCTTCGTACCCAAATGGTAAGACAGACTGGAACGCACAAAGCCACGTAGCTTGAAAACATAATTGGTAGAACTAAATCATTTCAGATAGGGAAAATTGCTTTCACAGTATCGAAAGATCACCGTATCCGGAAATTACCATCAAAATTTTATCGCTCCGCAAAATACCATTGAAAGAATGCGACGTCACCTGGATAGCATTCCGTCACGTTCAGAGCAAACGCCGTCGCCTCCGTCAAGCTCCTCCCGTTCTTCCTGAGGTGAGTGTGGCCGCTGCCTCTCCTCCAGGTGGGACCCGCTCCAACTGCTGCCGCTCTAGAGGAAGAGAGCCGAGTGGTCCTCCGTGCTGGCCGCACTCGGCTCCGGTGCGGGGAGCTCCGGGCAGCAGAGTGGCGGCGGGCAGGGCCTGGTGCCCGTGGCGGCGAGCTTCAGCGTCTGACTGCTACGGGTGGAATCGCGGGCTGGTGCGGCGCAGCTCCGGCGAAGGCATCTTTGGCGAGCCAGGGCGAGCGCGGCGGCGCTGGAGTGCTCGGCGGCAGCATGCGAGGCAAGCACAGGCGCCGGGCTTGAGCTCCGAGCCCCCTAAGACTCCGCGCCGTTTGGGTCGTGGGGCGTGCGTGCTCGCGTCGGTGCTGGACATGAAGAAGGCCTCGACGGGCTGCTTCATCGCCGAGAACCCCGGCACGACGGTGAGCATCTTCCACGGTGCCTTGACAGCGAACGCGATCGGCCTCGTCACGTAGCGCATCAGGCCGCTGTTGAGCCCCGACGCCATGCTGGACACGGTGAGCAGCAGCTGCTTCACATACTCGCAGCCGGCGGCATGTTTTTGCTCTTCATCGCCAGCGCCGTCCACCGGCTGCTCCTCGTTGTCGTAGCCGTCTTCGCGGCTACTGCCGTGGGCGACGGCCTCCGCCGCGCCGTCATGGCTTGGGCACAAGCAGATAGTAGAGCACCTCGAGCAGGTGTGCGTTCTTGCTGACTTCAATCGCGGGGAACGTGTCCACCATCTTGAACGGGCAGAGCTCCTTCATGAGCCCAGTGACCATCCGCGGGAGCAGCTCGCCGGCCTCGCCGGGGTACGCGCACTGGGGCTCGAGGATCCTGCGGAGGAGGAAGAGCGGGATTTGGTTCTCGAGCATGAGCATGTCGCGGAGGATGAGGTTGTGCGCCGACTTCCTCCCGGCGAAGTCAACGAGGTGTTGCATCCTCGACGACACCCTCCGCAGAGCCTTGCCGTTGCCGTTGCCGTCGTCACCGGTCTGCTCTATCCCTCTGGAGCGGCAGCCGTTGGAGCAGGTCCCACCTGAGGAGAGGCAGCGGCTGCACTCAGCTTAGGAAGGAGAAGGAGAGGAGCTTGACGGAGGCGGCGACGTTTGCACCAAACATGACGGAATGCTATATTGAGGTGACGTCGTATTCTTTGGATGGTATTTTAAGGAGCAGCAAAGTTTTGATGGTATTTTCTAGATATGACAATCTTTTAATGCTATGAAACCAATTTTTCCTTTCAGATATCGCCTATGACATTAAGTTGGTGAGCACCAGGCACCATTTGCTCGCTACGTGTCTGTCATCAGGCTTTAGCTTAGCTGCCCAAAAGAAGGCTTCATTCTTGCACGCTGATAGCGCAACGTTCAGGTTCATTTGCTCGTTTCTGATGGAGATGGAGTTTTTTTTAGCCTCTACTCTGGTAGAGCCGTAGAATCTGTTTACACACACCACGCGTACACAACTAGATCTATAACTACACGTAGATAGGAAGACCGCGTTCTTCTTGAGATCATCGGAACCATCCATGGCTCCGTAGACGATGGACACGTCGTAATCCTTTGTAGTTCCACGCGATAGAGGCTGTAGATTTTTTGGGAATAAATCCCGGTGAGAGACGTGAGTCGAATACAGGATTCGAACTCACGCCGGCAGCGAGCACACCTGGCTCAGCTAGCCACCCGAACCAAGTTCGGTTCTCGATGGAGATGGAGATGGAGTTCCGCCACTTCCAAATGTGCCAAGAGCAAAGCGGCAGAAAAAGTTCCAAAGTGGCGCTGGGGATATGGTCCGTCCGGGCACTGAATTTCCATCAGCTTTTCAATTGCCCAATCTCCGTCATTGCTAATGCCAACGGCCTGCCAGAACTGACGCGCTGAGGTGCAGCCAAAGATGGTGCGTGATGTTGTCTCAGCCGCCGAGTTGCAGACATCACATGATTCAGAGTCAACAATCCATGTCGCCGAGGCACTACCTGAAACTAGTAGTTCAGGTTCTTCAGTGTGACAGACACCATGTCTTCTAAATCCAACATACATAACCTGATGCAACACCACCAGAGCAACCACAGCAGCCAGGCTAGCAGGTCGGTCTGATTTCACAATCCATCACACAATTATCAACGAAGTAGTCCTCCAGAGATCCGGAGTTTAAGACGCAGCTCGAAGCAAAAGGAGCTGTCGGTATCTCGTTCCCAGCTTACACGCCAAACAGACAACCATCTTTTGCACATGGGCAGAGGTCCATGGCACCCAAAACGCTTTTAAAAAAATGTTTCATAGACAGTTTCTTCTCAGTAACACTTTAGGCCACTATTTGAAACTACTAGTTCAGCATCAGCGAAGTACAATTTAAGCATCAGTAGAAACCAAAAAAATCAGCTTGTGAGATCTATGCAAAACATCAGCTGGAATAGAACATGATGATAAAAATGGTTATAACCTAATCCATGGAAGAAAAAGTAAGTTCAGGATAATCTTCAGCCATGTATACTAGGCAGATGAAGAAACTAACAAACACGCGCATTGAGCATCCAGAATAAGTGAAACACAGCTCCTTCATAAATCAGGGATCCCTAGTGGTTGTATTGCAGAAATCAGAAACAGTCGCTAATGAGCATGACTGCATGAGTTGCAGTTCCACCATGCACCTTCGTGGAGCTCCTCCTGGAGGTTGGCGACCTGCTGCTCGAGCGTGTCTCCACGCAGTCCGGTAGTTCATGTGCCTGGTCACCATCTCAGGGAACTTGCTGTCCAGCCATTGGGTGAATCCACAGTCTTTGCAGGGATCGGGACCTGAGAGGAAAAAAACAACAGGGAGGAACCAGATATCATTGCCGATGAGGAACAAGATGTCATTGCCGATGGACCAGACCGCATTTTGCAGCTCTCGCATTGCAGTTGTAACTCGTGCAACTTTTCAAGTCAACATAACACTGAAATTTAGAACCAACATAATAAGCAGAGGCAACTAATTAGCAGTACAGATGACATGGTTCAGATTGTTCAGATGGGTAACACATCCAAATCAACTACAGCAGCCAGGCCAGCAGGTCTAATTTGGCAATCAATCGCACAAGTTCTCCAGAGATCTGGAGTTTCAGCGGCAGCTCAAAACAGAGGGCATCCGTGGTTACGTCAGAAATCAGCGCCACGTTCGTTTCGGCTTGTTTGCTGAAAAGTTATGGCTGAAAGTACTGTTGGCTGGTTTGGTGTGAGAGAAAAATACTGTTCGTTAACTGATAAACTATGGCATATAAGCCAAATACGACTAAGCGAACAGAACACCGACGGAATGGTTTGGAGAGCAAAGAAGTTTAGAACGATGGCACTCGTGTGCGGTCAATTTTTTTAATGGCTTGTGTGTAATTACAAACTTTTTTAATGGCATACATATAAAAGCCTCATTTATAAGACGTGACACTGAGAATAAAATATGGGCTTATCAATGCGCAGTTTCATTTCGCTGTTTAGCATTTAATTATCCACTGTGTTATGATCAAATATGGCGGCCAGTCTCACTGGGACGTTTCATGTCCCAATTTACAAGACGTGACACTGAGAATAAAATATGCGTAGTTTCATTTCGTTGTTTAGCATTTAATTATCCACTGTGTTATGATCAAATATGGCACGTGAACTACTATGTAGCCAACCTACCGAGGTGCAGTTGGATCCTAAGCACCAAATCAAATACAGGCATACAGAACCTACTCATTTTCTTCGGTAGAATTGGCAGAAGCTGTACTCTTTCCTATTAGAAAGATTGGTACCACACGTTCACATTCAGAGAGCCATTTTCACACTGCATGATTGACATTTACATAGTTGTTATCCAATGGCAAAATGCAGATAGCATTCACACTCAGATAGCGTTCAAGCAAAAATGATATGCCTTTATATAGCATGCTGGTAACATTCAGATAGCATCTAAGATAACATTCATGTTGCGTAGTTGCGAGCAATACACTTGTCTAAAATCACAAACACGCTACTGATGATACAATAAACATTTCATTTCATTAACCTACTTGCTGGCTTATTGCAACGATATACCATATACAAGAGTGAAGAGTCGCTTGAAGCAATACCACGATACAAATACCTGGTGGTTCCATTAAAATATGTATATATATTATATATATATAGCAAAACTCAAAACTCAAAAGGCAAGGAACCAAAGGACCCGGCTTATCGTTACAAAAATCAAAAGAGCTGCAAAAACGACTATACACTTCGCATGGAAAAAGACAAGAAAGCAACCAACAAAAGGGTGAAATGCTCTGCCAGATCAGGCAGAGCGTTAATAAGACAATAGAAATGAGCAACACACTGGAAATAGTATACAACCACTTACTAAACCACAGATACCAACTTTGTTTCATCTGCTACATAACGGATATATCAAAATAGAGTGCCAAGCTCTCGGCACACTACATGATGACCAATATAGTTCAGATTTCAGAGACAGGTGCAATTGACAACTAAACAACAACAACAACATAGCCTTTCAGTCCCATGCAAGTTGCGTAACAGTAGAACAAGCAAGTTCGGTTTCAGTCCCAAGCAAGACAGGTGCATTTGACAACTAAAACGAAACAAAATGTTGAAGTAGTTCCCATTACAGTAGACCAATTGACGATTAAACCAGCAGGTGTAACAGTAGCACAAGCAACCAAGAATTTAGAGCTTGTCCTCAAACTCAGAAAGAGGGGTCATCTGTTCCTTGAGACCCTTCCTCTTGCGGATATCCAGCACCAGCTGAGCAGCCTGGGAGCCAGCCTCCAAAGGATCAGAGCCCATCATGTCCCAGTGGTCAAAGACACACTGGGGGAACGCCTGACCAGAGGTTGCAGCCCTCAGTTGGCTGGAGAACCCAAAGGACTCGATGACAGGGAGGTAAGCCTTGATGTTGTAGAGCGGGGTACCCGGCCTCTGCATCTCCTCGAAGACATGGCCTCTCTTCTGGTTCAGAACACCGTAGATACCACCAAGTGCATTTTCTGGGGCCTGAATCTCCACCAGGTACACTGGCTCCAGCAGCCTTGGCTTGGCCGTGAGCTGAGAAGCATAGATGACCCTCCTGGCAGTGGGAATGACCTGGCCACCACCCCTGTGGATAGCATCAGCATGAAGAACGACATCACAGACCTCAAAGCAAATTCCGCGCATGTTCTCCTCAGCCAGTGCACCCTCCTTTGATGCCCACTGGAAACCAGCCACGACAGAATCCTTGATTTCATTGAGATACTGCACTCCCTTACACATATCAACAACCATGTTTGGGCCGGTGGTCTCAGGTCCAAAGCACCAAATCTTCTTGGCGAGATCCTTGTCCCACCCAAACTCCTGAGAGAGGATCTGGGAGCGCACCTTAGGATCATCACGTGGGCCAATGCGGCCCTCATCGATGGCCTCAGCAAGACCCTCCTCCAAGGGGCGCGCCTCCATGTACAGACGGTTGTGCTTGTTGGGAGACTTGCTCATGACAGTACGGCAGGACTTCTCAAGAACGGTTTCACGGAAGGACACAACAGGAGGGGAAACAATAATTTCAGCACCACCCATGAAGTCCTCCTGCAGATCCTTCAGGCAAATCTCGAGATGAAGCTCACCAGCTCCAGCAATGATATGCTCACCAGACTCTTCCATTGTACAGAGAACCATAGGATCGGACTTCGCCAGACGCTTCAAACCTTCGACTAGCTTGGGAAGGTCAGAGGCAACCTTGCACTGAACAGCAACACGCACAACAGGAGAGACAGAGAACTTCATTGCTCTGATTGGGCATGCATCAACCTCCTTCTCATTAGTGAGTGTAGCATTCTTCGTGATGAACTGATCCAGACCAACCATAGCAACAGTGTTACCACAAGGAACATCCTCAACCGACTCTTGTTTCTTTCCCATCCAGATAACGGTACGCTGGACACTCTTGACATACAGATCCTTCTTCTGGCCAGGGACATAGTTGGGACCCATGATCCGAACCTTCATACCAGTAGCCACCTTCCCTGAGAAGACACGACCGAAGGCAAAGAACCTGCCCTTGTCAGATGCTGGGATCATCTTCGAAACGTACAGCATAAGAGGACCCTCCGGATCACAGTTTCTGATAGCAGTTGCATAGACATCATCAAGGGGTCCCTCATACAAGTTCTCCACACGATACCTCTGAGCCTTTGCCGGGGAAGGAAGGTGGAATATCATCATCTCGAGCAGTGCAGTGCTAGCTGGTAGCCACGTTTGCATAACACGCTTCATCAAAGCTTTGCCAATCAATTCCTTCTCATCAGCCTTCATGGTAACATTGAGCTTTTGCAGCATGGGCCACAATTTCTCCTTCTGGTCGTTCATGCAGGTCTTGATGATTTGCTTGATTGGCTCATAGCAGAACTGAACAAATCCTCTCTTGCAGGTAGGAGAGCCTGTGTTCTTGGTGGTCCACTTCTTGGTGGCAGGGTCAAAGAAGTTCTCACCCCAAAGCCTCTCCATCATCTTAGCTTCATCAACTCCAAACTTAGATGCATACATCTTGGCAAAGTTAGTGAGGGTAAAGGCCCATCCGTGCAGGCCAGCAGAAAAAGCAACAGTCCCCTTCTCTGGGTAGACTTGGACATCACCAAGGAGCTTATCTTCATATGTTGCCATGATGACATTGGCATTCTCAATGACACGGGAGAAAGTCTGATAAGCTTCCTCGCCCTCAACCTGAAGCTCAAGGAAGCACCTGTCCATCTTGTTCACGGTAAGAACTGGCCTAATCCTCTCACCAAGGGCTTGGCGAAGCACAGTTTCAGTTTGCACACAGACACCTTCAATACAGTCAACCACCACCAGAGCACCATCGGTGATGCGAAGAGCAGCTGTGACTTCCGAAGAAAAATCAACGTGCCCAGGCGAGTCAATAAGGTTGATCAGGTATTGGTTACCATCTCTCTCACCCTTGTAGTTCTTCAGTGACTCATCAGTCATCTCATAGTAAAGAGAGATACCGGTAGATTTGATTGTAATACCACGCTCTGCTTCGTCTGCGCGCGTATCAGTCATGCGAACATCGCCAGCAACTTCCTGGGCAATAATCCCAGCAGCTGCCACAAGGGAATCTGTAAGCGTAGACTTGCCTGCAAAGAATTAATAATAGCATATAAGAACGGCGTGGAACTTCAACATGTGCATCGTAGAGTAGTACAATATTAGGGACAGACAACCAAATCAAAAGTTAACAAACACACTAGTAGATCACAATCTAGAGTACATAATTATCAACAGAGACTATACAAACCACAATATCTAAAACATACAGCCCATTTCCTACATGTGATAAATATCTGAACATAAGTAGTTAACTATGCCTAAAATTAGTGCAGCGAGAAAATAAACATTAGCTGTAAAGCACAATACAGAGCTTAAATATTGAAAACACAAAAGTTAACAACTCAGTAGTAGTATATTACAATCTAATACATACAGCCAACAGATAGTATATATACCACAATATCTAGAGAAAGCAAAACATTAACTACAAGATGAAAAAAACAATTAGCCTATTTCATAGGTGGGATAAATGTCCGTGAATATAGGCCTCTAGTAGATAATGCAGCATGAATAGAAACATTAGCAGTCAGGCACAGTATAGAGCTTAAATATTGAAATAAAATAAGTCTTGACATCAAAAAGGCTTGAAAACATTAAGGAATGCATGTATATATATGCTATCTAACAGAGCGTTCTGAACATACCATGGTCCACATGAGCAATAACAGACATGTTACGAATGTTGTTCTTTTTGTCCATAATGGCACGGAGCTCTTCAGCCGTGAACTTCACCATCTTGACTTCTTATGAGGATCACGCTACCAATACCAATATTTATTCCTGCTGTTGAAAGTTCAGGTATTAGTAAGAATACAATAAAAAACATGAGAAAATAACTAAACTGAAAACTTTGACACTGACATCAGTAACAAAGAAGTAATAACCACTATAGTTGCCAGGAACCAAAGAGAGAGGGGAATTATTAACCATTTCAGAAAGTTAATAAAAATGTTTTAACATGCAGTATTTGTCAGGATACATTATTCCATTGTTTACACCACACACTTCACAGGATTGTATAAGCACAAAAGATAAGAAAAAAGTAAGCTAAAAACCATGTATGATGTATCTTAGTTGAACACAGGGTGCAACCTCGTTAATCTAAGATCTACAATCAGGACACCACAGCTTATTCTTCAAAAAAAAGACATCAAAGTAACAGACACGAAACAATCAAATAATAGCAAATCGGCCTCGAAGCGCTTGCATAGCATGCCATATGCAAGCAATGATATGGACGCAGTATCAGGAGGAAGCGGATATGGAGATTCGTTTTTTTTTTCCAGAAAACATCATACGGGCTCATAGCAGGAAATTAAAACTGAATCGGATATGGAGATACAATTTTTTCCCCAGAAAACATGATACGGGCTCATAGCAGGCAATTAAAATGGTCCTATATCCTAAAAGCAGTTGCAACGTAGCAGGAGTAACATAAAAATTGCTCTATATTCTGGTTGACCTATCGTAGCTGCTGATCCCGTCCACGATCTTACAAGTGACCAGACAGACAGACAATTCGACTAAGGGATAAGGGACAGTAAGGGCGTAAGGGAGAGGGGAAAGAGAAGAAACTGGCTTGTAGTCGATTTACCGTGGGCTGCGTGCGTCGGTGGCAAATGCTGCTCGTCGCGGGATGTTCGCTACCGGCGCCGGATCTCGACGCAGGCGCGCAGGCGGGCGGCCGGCCGGCGGCTGCGGTGTGGGAGAGATGGGTGACTGGGGGAGGTGCGCAGAGCTAGGGTTTTCTGTGCTCTTTGTATAGCATATATATAGGCGATAATGGGCCAAACGGTGAATGGCCCACGAATTTAAATGGGCCAAGACGTATTGGCCCAAATATCCGATTTTTTAAAATTTGTTAAAAACGGATTTCCCCGTATACAGCGGGTATGGATCATGTATATTCTGTACTATACGAATACAAGAGATATGAAGTGAACAATTAGAAGTTAACCTAATCTAACTTCAATACAAAACTGCAAAATACATCAAATAAGGATAGAAAATGGTAGAGTTGATTAAAATAAGTATAAACAAACACTCCTATATTAGCTATTTCACCGCTTGATTACATGGGCAATTGTGTTCCTCAATCTTCAATGTATTAAATGGATTGGATTAATATAGATCTGGTTGGTTACATGCATTAGTCTATATTCATATATGTTCAGTAAAATTTATCTATGTTCAATTGTCTGTATAAGCTTTTATGCTCAAACCCAATGCAACGATAGTCAGTACGCTAGGTTTAGTCATATAGCCATATAGGACAATGCAGATTTGCACAAGCCAATAAAAAACACTAAAATGAAAATAATCTCACATCCCTTATATCTAATAGAAATAAGAGACCTCTATTATAACATGAAAATGACTATATATAACAAAATATAAATAATCAAACACAATTGTACCAAATGACTAAGATATGATTTATTAAGAGAAAAATCCTTATTTGACACCAAAAAAAAGTTTTTGTTACTAATTTAGCCAAACTTCAAAATTTCCTTATCTGGCCTCGCTTGAAGTTTCTGTTCCCAAAATGACACTACCATGAGATTGGGTATCGCCTGCCCCGGATGCAACGTCTATGCACGGGGGAATTTTTTAATAAAAAATTAAAACTAACACTGTTTAATTTTTTTTTCAAATCTAACACTTTTTGCCGCGCCTATTCGCATGGCCCGGTGAATTAACGCTGTCGCGCCAAGCATGGGGGCGCGGCGAGGCTGCGTACGTGGCAGCGACCAGGGCCCCTGACCGGTGACGTGGCCAGCTCTGCCACACCACCGATCAGGACGCGGCGGTGATGCGCCACGCATCATGGCGCGGCGCAGGGCGCGGCAGAGCCTAATATAGGCCTGCGGCCCAGTCCCGCCCCTCCCTCTCTGTTTCAGTGAGCGCCATGCAGCAGCCGCCTCCGTGCCGCCCTGCCCCCGTCGCCGCGCCTCCCAGCCCGCACCGCCGCGCCATTGCCTCCTGGCTCCCCCACGGCCGGCCGCCGAATTTCCCTCCCTTGCCGTTCCCCTCCCTACCTTCCCCGAAACTCCTCCTCGGCCTTGTCAAGGTAATGAAGCTCCTCCTCGGCCTCCACGGTGGATCGAATGATTTGAATGAGTAGTTAGGGTATGGAGAAAAATATGAGTTCGTTAGAACGTTAGATTGTAGGATTAGGATTATAATTGCCAATGTTAAAGTTAATTGGTTAGTTAGAATTATGATTACCATGTATGTTGCTTGTTTGAGTTTGCATCTCAACTTTTATATGTGAATAAATATATGGACACACTGATGATGTACCCAATTTTATTTTTTACTGACCAAAGTATAGTTTTTATATAGTTTTCATGTTTGCATCTAAGATAGAGTTTGCATCAAAGTGTAGGTTATATTTTATTTGTTGTAATGCAAATGGTTCTCATTGACATTAATTTATGATGTTTTGATTTTTGTTTGTTAAATTACAACCGTTTTGTTAGATGCAAGAAATATAACGGGAGGAGTTTTGGCGAAAACGGGGTCGTCCTCGAGAATTATACCCCGACGCATCTAGCAAAGATGCCCTCGTCCCTCCTGACCTCCATGTCCCTAACTATGATTGTGGTTTCCCGGCCGACGTGCTTTAATCGAGACATCCAGACATAGCGGTGTGTTGCTTCTACACATGCAGTCGTTTTAATGTAAGTAATTGTTTTCACTATCTTTTTTCTTTATTTGTGTAAGTATGCTACTAATATTTTGTTGGAATCTTGTTGTGTAGGACCATGAGAGGTGTTTTTTCTTTTAGTGGATCGACGGTGCAGACAAGTTGAACCCTAGGTACCTCCTTTTCGACGATTGGTGTAGAGGGAGACATCCACGTGAGCGCTTCAAGCGGTGGGTTCCACCCCCCTAACCCCCCGCCAATGACAGCTAAGGAGAAGCACCTAGCCATAGTTAGACGACTCGAGGAACCTCCTCTGTGCGAATGCGGAGATCGAGTTGTGATAAACCCTGAGAATACGTTGGAGTTTGTGTGTCCGAATAAACACGAAGTAAGTGGAAAGTGTATCTGTTTAAATGTTTAGCTCTATATGTGTGCGTGTACTAATGTATTATCTTGTAACGTTATGGATTTGTGAAGTGTCATTTCAATGAGTGGCTCTACGGTCCTAAGAATCAATGGTCGGAGCCACCAAAGGCAAAGAAAAAGAAGAAAGAAAGGTTAATTTACAAAGCACCTCATGTCAAGTGCGAATGTGGTGTTAAATCCAACTATGGTCTAGTCCCTTCGGAGCTTGAAATATGCCATTATTGCAGCGATATGGTTGACTATGATGAGCTTGGTTATTTTTGTGGTAAACATGAAATTGTATTTTGTTTCTTTTGCTAATACATATATGATATAATTTTTCGTTTGAACAGAGCACTAGGAAATGCAGGTGAGAATGTTATGATGGTCAAGCTAAGTTCTTGGATGAACTGAAGGGGAGGCAAGTAATTACATGAAAGAGGGGATATGGCCTTGACTACGTCAACCTATTCGTTAAACATCACAAAAACAAGATGCGTGAGTTTGCTAGACAGCGCGGTATTCATAACCCGATCGATGTTGGGTTTGACAAATGGGGATTGGAGAGACGGAGGGTGTTAGAGGAGTAGAGGGCAAGGAAGGAGTCAAGGGAGGAGGAAAGAGTACAGATGCAGGTCTTGAACGACCAAGTTGTTGCATTGTGTGCCAGTGAGTCATTGGAAGCCTTGTTATTTTCATTGTCTACTTTTAAATATAATATAATCGTGTTGCTAACTTGCTGTATTTCATACATGAAGGGATAGGATGTAGCATGACCATGCCGTAGAGGTGGCCCATGCAAGATTTGAGAAAAAGAAGTTACATGAGCACAGAACGCGAGCTGGTCGCACCGTTCAATCTTCGATTGTGTTGTCTGATGAGGGGGACGAGGATGAGGACGACACTGCCAGGTTGAGCGATCTCATCGCTCTTGCTGAGGCGGGCTTGCAGGCTGAGGATGATACTGGTAGACTGAGCGAGCTCATTGCTCTAGTAGAGGTGGGCTTATAGGCGGAGGAGGCGGAGGACAACACTGACAGACTGAGCAAGCTCATCGCTCTAGCAGAGGCGGGCTTGTAGGTGGAGGAGGATGACGACGCGTTCTTCACTCAGGCCGCAGAGGCCACAGATGAAGCGGAGGCCGCTTACTACATGCGACAGACAGATCAAGGCAATGCAGGTGAGCCTAGCCACATGAGCCAGATGGAGGAGGACGTGTTCTTGACTCAGGCCACATAGACCCCAAATGAAGCAGAGGCAGCTTACTACAGGCGACAGGCAGATCAGGGCAATGCCAGTGAGCCTAGCCACAGCAACGAGGTTGTGTTAGAGGACTAGTACTCGGATGATGAGTTGCTTACGCTGTATGTTTTAGATTAAGGATTGGTACATGTGTGCTAGTTTAATATTTTAGATTTGGTATTTGTATCGTAGTGGAACTTTCTCGGTGCTGCATTATGTTTCATTTGAACTATTTATGTATTGTACCCATGTAACAAACATTATTTCATTTTTATAACGGACATTGTGTTATCTCATTAAACTTTCGCCACAAAAAATGGTATTACAATGTTGCTGCTGAGCATGGCGCAACGATCAAAGCGGTAGCAAAAGGAACAAGGCACTTCTGTTATGTCGTCGTGTTGATTTAACGAATAGGTCAACAGGAAGGATAAGTGCA